GCCCAAAAAGGATTGCCAAGTGTGCTGCTCTGGACCGTTGATCTATTGCCTAATCTATGGTGTTGGGATGGACTATAAAAGAAGTTGGATGGTCTTGGCTCTGTGCGAGAATTCATTCTGTGTTGGCTTTGTGCGAGAAATTCTTCTGGGCTTCTCTGTTTCGTTCGTCTCTCTACTGCCTTCTTCGATTCTTTGTGTAATCGATTAAAACTCTTGGTTTTAATCACAAAACTAGATAGTGTGCATCTATGTGATCCTTCGATTGTGATTTGTATGGGTTTAGATAGGCATTAGAGATTAGATCCATTGAGTAGCTGCTTTTGTGCGATTCTTGATTAGGGCTGGGTCTTTGTGGCTTATCCTTTTGTACAAACGGGTACAATATTCTTTGTGAACTTTCTGAGCCCTAAATCTGAACAAGAAACTGAATTGTTGTTGGTTCCATTGTGCTTTGTGGTCTGTGATTTCTGCTTCCGTTTTTGGGTTTCATTCCTTACAGTTTCAAGTAATTAGGTGTCCGGAGTTGCTATGATGAAGGGAAACGTATGGCCGAAACGTGGTGCCGGTGTTGAGGTAAATAAATTTATTCTGTAATGTAACTTCTTGATTCTAAGCTTGCTATCTGGATAATTTGGCTGTAGTAGAATATACTTTAATATGTATAACTTGGAAATGACCATCTTTTATTTAAGATTGTCGTTCATCTAGAGAATGGTGTTACTTGGAAATTCTGTTTACTCCTTAGCGCTTCAGATTTGTGAGTGAACACAAATTTATTGATCTCAGTATATTCAAGTAATATAATTTATATGCAGTTGCTTATTGTTTTTTAATTTAAAAAGTTTTGGCTTCAGTAGTTATCCAAATAATTTGTGAATTGTGGAATTTTAATCATCATGGTTAGACTACATAATGTCATCTCAAGTTTCTGGCATGTAAATTCTAGTTGCTTACTTTATAGCTTCTAATTTTGAAGCGATGAAGATTAGTTCCTGTAGTACAAAATGCAGATCCCTGCTACTTGCGCGACATTGTTATGACTAATCCTCCTCCTCTGCCTATCCAGGAGCGCATTGCACACGTATTCAATACATATGGACCTCGCATGTGTCTAGATGATGGCCGTGTTGTGAGCAACTTCGTTTGACAGGTTTGTCCTCTCTGTTGGTACTCTGAAAAATTGATTAACCTCTATAAGGATATTAATGAGAGATTCTTATCAGCGTAACGTGCAGGTCTTCTTTAACTAGGAATACTCCGGTACTATGTATCATGCGTTGGCCAGCCGGTAACTCACCATTTTTCGAGTGGTGTTGCACGTGCCCATGTGAGTGGTTGGATCTTAATTAGATCAAGTTATTTATTAGAATTCTGAGTCATGATGAAACATACTACTTTTTAGGGAGGATGAGAGCTATATTATTTTAGGCATCTACAGAATGAAAATTATGCAGAGAGTTGCCATAGGCTTTTGCTTCAAGATTATTATACATCATTATGAATATTCGAACAAGCAGTTAATTTGGCCAAATTGTACATTCTTCAATTTCTCGATCCCTCTCTCTCGCTCTCCCCTTCCCTTCCTCTCTCTTGACTCGTGTGTCTTACATCCTAGGAGTCTACATACACATTGAAACAAACATTCTTATAGAAGCTGTATATTAGAAATCAGAATGTAGAATAATATTCTCTTTGCATGAACAAATAATATTAACATAGGGTAGCATATGTATTTTCTTGATGCCAGGTTGATGGATTAGTGGCATTGATGGAAAACGAGCACGTGGGACCGTTGAAATTGGGTAACCGAGGAGAATTCACGATGTTAGATCTTGCAGAGGTTTGTCATGGATAAATCTTTGGTATTCATTGTGACATTGTTTCCAATTGTTCTGAATTCTAGTTTTTGGCACGAGTAAGCTGATTTCTCTCCTGAAATAACAGGTTGTGAAAGAAACTATTGGTCCCAGTGCAACGGTTGATTTCAAGCCTAACACTGTTGATGATCCTCATAAGAGGAAGCCAGATATCGGTAAAGGAAAGGAGCTTCTGAACTGGGAGCCGAAGATTTCCTTGCATAAGGGGTTGCATCTCATGGTCACCGATTTTCGAAATCGCATCTTGAATGAAGATGAAGGAAAGGGAAACAAATAGAACTTGGAATAAATCATGAGAGCATGTTCTCTGTCTTTTTATTCATTTTACCAGATTGAATTGTTTTCTTTATTTTTTTCACAACATGGAAATCTTAGCAATATGCCATCCCATAACAAGCGGATATACCTTACCTTTTGTAAGAACTGCGAAATTCTCTTTAATATGAATACAATGTATTATTGCTGGTAAAATGTGTGCACAGTGCGCTAAGACTTTTGTTTTTGGCCGAAGAGTTGTCGACGTGGTGTCAGGTGTGGGTTAAACGAATGGATCTTGAAAATTTGTGGGGTTAAACGAATGGACCTTTGAGGATTTTCAAGAAATTCTTCGATTTCTTCCGAAAGTAGATGAGCTTCTCACATTCTGTGAATAGTCGGGACATTGAGGAATATCAAGACAGGCATTTTGATAATCAGTCTAATTCTATCCTTGTTTCTTCCATTTGATCGAAATTTGAAATCTTGGTGAAACATTGGACTTATCCCATGTCTGAATTTTCTAGTGAAGTTTAAAATGTCAACGAGACTTTACGAGACAATGGATTAAAATAATGACCCTGTCTTTTCGAGGATCGAGAGGTGGCTCAGGACGAGGATAAATATCTCTATTTATCGTCATATTTAATTAATTATTTACTTTTTAATATTATTACTTATTTTTTAAAATGCGATTTCAATTGAAAAATAAAAAGATCAAATTAAATTAAAAGATTTGGGACGAGTTCGAGAATTTCGAGATAAGGACCATGTCCTCCATCTTCGATCAATTTAACTAGCAAGACGGGACGGGAAAAGTTGGGAACGAGAAAATTTTTTGAACATAGCTGGGTTCAGGCAAGAATCAAGACTACATATCATTGTACTCCCTAACTTTAATATCAGAGCAAACACATGGTGGGCACAAGAAGTCACATTCTGATGGTGCAACAGCAATATGTGGTTCATTTAAACCATTTTCAAGATTCCTTGAAACTTTGAAGATAGATCTGAATCTTCCATACATCTAAAGTTATAGATAATTAGTAATCACTACCAGAATTGTACTCCTTAATCAAGTACTTTTCACAAGAGTTAATTAAATAAGAATAAGGCTGTTTGTACAGCCCAAGCTTCACAGCTCGGGCTACAGCACCCTCACAAAGCAGCGGGTCCCGCTTTGTGTTTGATTATTTTAATTGTAGGCCCCACCCCCTGAATGTGAGAGGGCTGTCATCCAAGTTGTCACCGGAGCTGTGAGTGTAGCAAGATTCATTAAATAATTAGTCATCGATATGTACGTTTGATTACTACTTATCCAGTCAAAAATAAAAAGTCACTGATTGCTTACTCACTTTTAAATAATATCATCCATCCATCATCTATCTAAATTCTGTTCGTCCATGTGGTAAAAAAATTATATGTGACGGATGAAAATCTTACATGGCAGTTAATCACCAATATGTACATTTGATTATTACTTGTTCACTAAAAAATAAAGGTTTCGATTGCTCACTCACATTTACACAATGTTACCTATTCGTTATCTACCACGTAGGATTTATTTACCACTTGGATGAATAGAATTTAGGTAGATAATGGATGAGTAACGTCATATAAATGTGAATAAATAATTAGTAATTTTTTTTAAAATTTTTGAGTGAGCAAATAATAACTAAAAATAAATGTTGATACCTAATCATTTAACCAGACAAGTTTTTAGTAAATTCTAATAAAAGTTAATAAACGTGTGATTGAAAAATTGATAAAGTTGATAATCCCACGAATTGTGTGGATATAATTAATCGTTAACTTTTTGTGGACTTATCTCTTCATTCTAATACACCAACTCCCCAACCTTAACATCTTACCTTCATCAGTTCAGCTCTTCCTTTTCTCAACCCAACCATTAGTCCAGTCGATCTATTATTTCACAAACTACATTGTGAAGAGATGAAAGGAAGTGATATATTCTGTGCATCTCAAGTTGCAACATCAGTTTGTCTGAGTATGGAAGAATCCTCGTCTTCTTCTTCGACCATTCAACTTGAACTCGGGAGTGACCGAACTATAGACCGGTACAATCCCATTATCAGAGACTCGAGAAGAAATGGAAAATCACTCCCACCTTGCAATTCTCAGAAGCTACCTATTAGTCCCAAGCCGCGCAAAAAACAGCAGAAAAATAACCGGCAGAACTCTTCAGGGGAGAATGCCGAGGAAGAAAAGAAGAAATTCATGAAGCCAAATGGTCAGAAAATAAAAGGCAGTAATTTTGATACAAATGAGGATGATAATAAGAATAATTCTATCAGTATAAGGAAGAGCTGGAGTTGCACCTGGCCTGGAGATTTCATCAGCCCTGCGAGTTCTACTAGGTACTTATTGAGTGATAAATCTTTCTTGGGCGGGTTATCGGAATCTGATCCTGGTCTGAAATTGGTTCCTGGAGAACAATCCAAGCCGTCTGGAACTAAGGAAACAGATGAGTTGTTCGAGGCAAAACCGCCATCTCCAGAACAGGTTCTCCTTCCATTTTAATAGCACGTTTGGCCTAACTTAAAAGCCAAAAATGATAGTTTTTTCAACATTATGACTCTACATGCTGTCCAAAAAAGCCCCCAAAAAGGAGTTTTTTTTTTTTCCCAGAAATTTAATTTTCTGCTTAATTATCATTATAATTACATCTATAATTTTGTTTAACTTGTTCCTTGAGGAATTAAACCATATTTTATTGATTCTTGCTGCAGGAGGTTGTTCTTAGAGTGTCACTAGATTGTAGAGGATGTGAAAAGAAATTGAAAAAACATCTCTCTAAATTGGAAGGTAAGTACATTAATTCCTGGACAGTATTTCTCTGTCTTTTTATCATTAATTTTTTATCTTGTGACTGTACTCTCACCTCATTAAAATCTTCTGGTAGAACAACAAAGACTGTCATAATTTTGGCCTTTTCATTTATCTACTCCTGTATCTTTCTTTCTGGGGTGGGGTAGCTATTGGTTAATTGGAGGGGACCAAATATATTATATATGTACATGTATCTGAGGAACTGGTTCTTGTTTTGTTATGATAATTTATATGGTGCACCATGTGAACTAGTGACGGGTTGATGTTCAAGTCGAGTTTGATAACTATCCATTTATGCAGGGGTAACATCTTTCAACATAGATTTTGCGGGGAAGAAGGTGACGGTGATTGGAAATGTGACTTCGTTGGACGTCCTTGAAAGCATATCAAAGTTGAGGAATGCCAATTCGTGGAGGCCGGCACTACTCAATTCCGGCACCTCACTACTAAAGAAGGACTACATAGGAGTAGCTGCTTCTTAGTTCCAGTACAAGAATTTTATGCAAACAGCATGTGACATTTAGCTGGTGTAAATTAGGTCTATTGTTTATGAGTTGTCACTTTCTTGAAACTATTGCCTTGTATTGGACATTAATTGTGAGGCTAGTGGCTAAATATTTTGCTTCACTTTTGAATCGAAATATTATTGAGCGTTTAAATTATTTAAAATTAAATATCTTAGGCGGAGCCATGACAACTTGAGCACGAAGTTGGAAAAGATATTTTGTGCAACTATGTCCATGTTTGGTAAATATTCTTAAAAATTCATTTTTTCTCAAACTCATTTTTAACCGTACATTTTCATAATAAAATAATTTTGCGTGTAGACTCATAATTTTTTCCTACTTTCTAACTACATATTTTCAAAAACACTTTTCATAGAAGTTATTCTAAAAAATCTACATGAAAAAATTTTACCTTGGATGAAGAAATCTTGAGTTGAAATCTCACCTCTAGTTATTTATAAAAATTATGTACATTATGACCCCTTTAAATAAACAATCATGTTACGTCGATTTAAACTGTTAGATATAGTTCAACGTCCTGATCTGCATCTTCGTTATCACTTGATAGAGATTACGTACCTCTTCCGTGTCTTTAACACTAGCAGAGCATCATATATACAAATCACAAGTAAAAGGCTTCATAATATAAAAGTTTTATTTAAATCTTTGATAGATGGTTGTATATTACATACCCAACATGCACAATAATTATATATTCTCGAAAAGGAAATATTATTAATGGACACGATGAGCCGGGAAAGAAGGATGAGAGGGCGGTGGTGATGGCGGATCGCCAGCACTTCCACGGGACGGCCCAGATGGTGGAACGGGCCCTTTAGGTAGCTTCCCATATACTCTCCTCTTGTCCTCCGCCACAGCTCTTGCATTAGCAGTATTGCTACTGGTAAACCCTAAAACCAATAGTGCAAGCAAAAGTATTGCAGATAGCAGTTTCTGGCCAGCCATTTTAATATTCTTATGCTTCTTCTTTAAATTTGATTGTTACTTATAATTCCATTCTCTCTTGCATGGCCTTTAAATAGATGAGGAGAACATAAGATATATTCATGGAATTTATTTTAAATAATTGCACCTACATGAATTGAGATTCTTGAAAATTGAAAAGTTAATTACTTCTTAAATGGGGAAGATCCTTTTTCTTTTACTGTTTTTGATTCAGAGAATTGACAGTTGATTTGGAGGATATTAATGATAATTTAAGTAAATTATTACTGAATCAGCTGAAATTAATCACAATGGCCAAACAAAAAATAATGATGATGATATATGATATTATGCCGTGTATGTAGTAAGATTTATAATGGGTGAATATGGAAATTTTGTATGTCTGTGTATTCAATTTAAATTTTTAAAGATTATAAATAAAAAGTTTAGGTATATTAAATATTACTAGGTGCAAGCAACGTACAATGTACGTTTGCTTAGTTTATATTTAATAGTTTTGTTTAAGAATTAATTTGTTATCAATAAAGATGTAAATTTTTTTGGTTAATTGCGTGTCTTGGCGCGCTGCAAGTAACAAGGAAAATTGATTATGTTACCTTTTTTTTTTTTTT